TAACACATGCTCATGGTAAAAATACTCAAATGATAATGATGGGTAAAAAATATTTTAAAGTCTCCTCTCCTCCCTTCCCATCAGCCCAGTTCCACTGCCTAGTGATAACGATTGTTAGGTTTTTTTGTGTGTTCTTGTCCATAAATTGTCATTGAAATGAAAACTGTGTACTCTGCCATAATCGTATAAAATGAACATGCAAAGCATATTTTATATGTATATCCTACACACACCCCGGACTATAGGCCACACACTCCTTTGCTTAGCATTTCATCTTAAACATCAGATGCAGCTGAGACCACTTTTGTCTGAGGGTCTCATTTATAGGCCTCGGGTATGACCCTGGCTGCCCTCTCCTGTGCACTAGAGAGCAAGTAGTGGGGTCTGGTGCCCTGGAGTCCCAGGTGACAGTGACTATTGGAGAGGAAAGAAGTTGACAGGCTTGGGGGTGGTGGTGGGGAGATGTGACCGGGTGTGAGGTGAGTCTGTGGGTAGTTCTCAGGTGGCTGACCCTCATCTCTGGTGTACTACGGCTTCTAGCCCTGGTCCTAGAAAAATTCAGATTTGGATACAACCAACATCCACTGCAACTTTAGAAAAGGCCTAGCTCTTTCCTTTGAACGTTGCCATTTTTCATCTCATTTAATCTCTGTGGGATCCCTGTGAGGTAGGAATTACCTCTAGTTTACAGGCAAAAAAGCTGAGACTCAAAGAAGGTCATCTACATGTTACAGGTGGACACATAGCTTTTAAGAAGTAGAACCACCAGCCAACTCCGTTCTTTTGATTGTCATCCAGGGCACGATCCACTGCACGCCACCAAAGGCCTCTGGGGAGAGATTACCTTTTAGCTCATGCTATATGCCGAGAGTACAGGCTTTGCACCCCACTGACCTTCCTTGTCCTTCCCTTCGTCCATGCAGCGTCCTCCAGCACTGCAGGGGCCAGGGACAGAAGGTGGCCAAGTCCAGAAACGTCCCTGGGGCTGAGAGATGTCCCCCCGGAGGCCGGGTCCTGAGGGGCGCCGGCAGAAGCTGATAGGCCATCACCTCGGAGGCTGAGCCCGGGCTCCCCGCCCACCCCAGGTCCTGCCCCACCCCTTAGGGGTGAAGCCCCAGCTCCTCTCGAGGGGGAGGCCTGGACCCCAGATCCAGGGGGGCAGAGCTCCCAAGGCCACTGGGCCCGAAGACACATGTCCCATGCCCATCTTATCGGTGCTCTGCAGAGTCTGTGCCTGCTCCTCGTCCCCTCCTCACCTCCTCCTCGGGCTCCCAAGGCCACGGGTGGTTGAGGGTTTGGCAGCCGGCCTTCTGGCCCAGGGGACGCTGAGCCGCCCCGGGGGCGGCGGGAGGGACAAGGCACAACGAGGCCATGCCTACTGCCGGCACCTCCCCTACGGAGAGAGAGGGGCCTGAACCACGGGACGCTGTCCCGAGGCCCTCAAGCTCTAGCAGAGTCCCGGGCCGGGCAGCAGGTGGGAGGGGCCGGGGAAGCAGAAGCAGCTCCCATCCGTGCAGCTGCCAGTGGGGGGAGTGGGCGGCCAGGGGTCTGAGGGGCGCTCCTGCGCTGAGAGCCGCTGGCAGTGGGCAGCAGGACCAAGGCGCCCACGAGGACTGGGCCCAAAACACGGGGCTTGGGGCTTGGGCGGCTGGGGGATGTCGGGAAGCGGCCGTAGGTGCTGGTCCCAGGCAGTGCAGCCCAGGGCAGGCATCACGATGGGGCTCAGAAGCAGCAGAGAGCCAGTGCTCGAGGATCAGGGAGAGCGTGTTCCACGAGGAATCTGGTCCCTGAGTCCCGGTGATGGCTGGCCTTGGCCCAGTACACAGGGCCCTGCCTGTGGGAGTGTGCTGCCTGACTATATTGTGATGGAGTTCTCCTTGGTTAGCACAGGACATCACCCCTCCGCCTGGCCACTTCCTCTGGGGAAGTGGGGGGGTGCCTAGGCCTCTTGGGGTGAGCAGCAGGAGTTGGTTGTCGAGAATTGGGAGCTCTTAAGGAGGCTAACA